AGGCAATAAGATAGAAGTTCAGTATCTTTAAAGAACTGAAAGAAAAAAGTAAATAAACTATCAAATCAGGTTTCCATATCCAGCAAAATATGTTTCAAAATTAAGGCATGCTAAAGACATTTCAAGATAAATAAATATAAAAAATTATATGCAAAATCTTTCAGAATATAGACAAGAAATTAGTTTCCCCAACTTGTTTTAGGAGGCCATCATAAATATTATATCAAAACCTGCAGACATTAAAACTAAAAATAAAGTTAGGTACAAATAGTCCTCATGTGCATAAACATAAATATTTCTAAAACATACTAGCATATTAATTCAATGTTAGATATGGTTCATCCCAGAAATGCAAGGCTTAACATACGAAAATCATAGGAATAATAATTGAATATAATAGGCCTATAGGAAGAAGGTTATGTGCAAGTATTAACTGTGTGCATGTATATGTATACACACATATATTCACAATAAAAGATTGGAAGTAAATTAAAATAAAAAATTCCACTTAAAATATTATTAAAAACCTACTTAGGAATGACTGTAACAAATGTTAAAGGGCTCTTAACTGAAAACTATAAAAGATAGTTGAGAAAATGTAAATACAGACATAATAAGACATAGTCTCCACTGATGCGTAGGAAGACTCAGTATTGTTAAGTTGGCAATTTTTCTCAAATTAACCTTCAAATATACCCCATTCTCAATCAAAATACTACATATATATATATATACACACACACACACACATACCTAACATATATTATATATTAGATATTGACAAGCTGATTCTAATATCTATGTGGAAAGTTAACAACATAGAATAACCAAAGCAATAACAAGAACAAAAAGAAAATTGTAGCACTTATATTATGTGAAAACTTATTTTCCATCTGTTTTTATCCAGTAATATAGTCCTTGCACAAGAATCATCTTCAAAGATTAATGGGAAAAATAGAGTTAAGAAATAAACCTGCACCTGTTTGATTACTTTTTTAAAAAACAAAGGTGTCAAGGCAATCAACTGGGGACAGAAAGACCTTTCACAAATGGTGCTGTGAAAATTAGATATCCACAAGTAAAAGTAAAAAAAAAAAAAAAAAAAAAAAAAAGCATCTTTCCTTCCCTCACATCATATACAAAAGAGGACACAAAATGAATTAAGAGTCTAAAACTGAAAATGAAAGTATACTACTTTTAGAAGAAAACAAAGAAAATCCATGTGACTTTAGTGTCAGCAAAGATGATATAAATAGGGTATAAAACCATAAGCCACTAAAGAAAAAAATAATAAATTGAATATTATGAAAAAATTTTAAATGCTCTTCAAAGACCCTGTTAGGAAGAGACAAGTCATAGCCTGGGAGATACTATGAATAACACACAGAGCTGACAAAGTGCTTATAACCAGAATGTATAAAGAACTCTTACAACTTAATCATAAGACGATAAATGCTTCAAAAACAAAATAGGTAGATCTGAGCAGATATTTCTCAAAAGAAATTGTAAGTTATAAGTGCATGAAATGCATGTGTCTCATTAGGAAAATCCAAAGTAAAACCACAGCAATATACTACTACACTCCCATGAGAATGGTTGAGAATGGTTAAAATTAAAAAGCTAATAATACTTGGTATTGATGACCATATGGAACAATTTGAACTCTTATAAACTGCTGATATGAATGTCAAATAGTACCACGTTGGAAAACCAAGAAATCTGGAAGTTTCTTAAAACATTAAACTTCTACCTGACAGATGATCCAAGGTATTTATCTAAGAAACACAAAAACATACCTCAATTAAGTTGAAAAAAATAAAGACAGACAGATATAGAGAGTGACAGGTGGTTGGGAGTCAGAAATTTCAGGTTCTGTAGGTTGAAATACTGTTTTAAAGCCACTTTTGACAAAGCAAGTAGGCAGACCAATATTTTCCAACATTAAACTAACTAGAAGAGTATATCTGAATAATAAACTTAATATCATGTCATCAGAAGCAACACTAGTAAATCCAAGAAGAAAGTCAGAGATGGAATAAGTAACTGGAAGCCACATTGTATGCAGATACCAATGATTAAGGCAAGAGAGATGGTCAGAAAGAAGGCCTGAGGCTGAAAGAGAAGTTGCTCTTAACTAGAAAGAGAGGAACTTTTAAAGAGAAAAACTCAGAGTAGAGCCACACATTTCTGTCTAGAAAAGAAATATCTGATGTGTTCAGCTCAAGGTTTAAACTACCTAGATAAAGGGCAAATATAGCATGCTGACTGGGGTACAAAGTAAAGGATGAAGGATTAAAAGATTGTAAGAAGATTCTATTTTTTTTTTCAGAGAAAAACAAAGAAAAAGATGAGAGTAGATCAACATAGCAAATTGAGGTAAAAACAGAAGGTTGCTAGGGAAAAGTGGAATAACTCATGGACTCTAATTTAGTTTTTAGACTAAGAGGAATGTCAAAAGCAAGGACCAAAAAGAGCATTTGTGTATAGTTTTTCTTAGTCCAAAGAGATTTAAATCATTGTGTCTCTGATCAGAAACTCTCAAGTTACAAATAATCGAATGTGAGAGCACCTACACCTAACCCTTCTCTAGGGAACACCACACTGCTGTAGCCATTGTGCCTGTTATGAAAACACAGAACTATTAAAAGAATTTGTAAATTCTGAGATAGAGTAAGGGGGAAAATATGAAAAGCAGAAAGAGCACATATGGAGGCTTATTCTGATGTCTGAATTTCAGACAAGGTCTGTCCCATCTTTTGAGATCTCGGCCCAAATATATATATATATATATTTCTATAATATCTGAGTTTCTATTTTAACCCTTATACAAAAAATACAGTTTTTTGAAATGAAAGTTCAGTTGACTGGCATGAAAAATTAGATACTGTCCTCATATGATATGAGTCTATTTAACAATGGTATATGGGAATTTCAATAAGTCAATAATTAGTTGAGTTATGGAAGTTTTGATTATGATGAGACAAATGATTTGCAAACAGTATTAGTAAAGAAAAGCAGTGAAAATAGTAGTAGAAACTAAGATAAATAGATAAAGAATGTAGGAAAGGAAGAGAGAAAAATACTAAAAATTTTCTTAGGCCGCTTCTGCATCAAATGTGGATGGGGAGAGCATGGGTATATCTTTCTTCTCCTTCCTGAATTAGGCAACCCACTTCTCCTCAACACCAAAAATAGGCTAGTTATAGTTCTATAATTGAATCTCATTATAGATTACATAAACTGTAGTGGATTGTTTGAGTGTGGGAATCTTAGTGCCAATAGTAGTATTCCTTTGTTGTTATGTGACAAATATGTGTTTCATATAAAAAATGAATTTGTAGTTTAGGAAGGTAGAGAATGGTGACATACTTCAGTTATCAGTAATGGCTCCAACTCCTTTAGGATTGTGGTTAATAAGTTGCAATCGTTAACTCTTTGTGTGTAAGTTTTTATTATTTTGAAATGAAGCTAGAAATGCCATAACTTAAAGTGGAAATTGTATTAAAAACAAAAGAAACAAAGAACATATCTTCACTGATCTGAGATAGCTCCAGCAGAGGTAGCTCTAACAGAGGCAAAACAGTAACTCTGAAAACAATTATTGTCATATTCGCAATCACCAGTGATACTTGCACTTAAGGGTTTCTTTATCATTGGTATCTAGAAAAGTTGCAGGAGGAAGATACAATGGCCTAACTTTAATTAAAGTAAAATCATATGTAATCTGAGCATCTAATAGGTGGAAATTTGACATTCAAATTTGATATTCAAAATATAAAAACACTGATTGAATTCTGTTTATACTTTAGTGAATGTGTATTTAAAATCAGGTGGTCATCAACTAAAATTGAGAACTGCATAACGTTTTGAGTATAATAGGGTTTAGTTTCTGATCTTAATTCCATTCTTATAGTTCAATCAATTATTTTACAAGTGGTGAGAATGACACTCCTGGAAACATTTTTGTGTCCCATATTTCTAAATATTTCACCTAGTGATTTGACATTTTATAGAATGAGAAAGTATTCCAAGACACAGCATCAAGCTGTTTGCCATTAGGGGTAAAAATCACATTGGCAAGAGTAGCTAAATTTTTACAAAATCTTCCAAAATGGGTATCTCCAGAGTAAAAGCTATCAAGGCTATTTATATGTACAAAGAGAGATAGAAGCCTGAGGAAAGAAAGGAAAAGCATGTGGTAGGCAAAGTCAAGTTACTGAGAAGTATATGCCTGGAAAAAAAGATACATAGTGTTTTATAGTAAGATTTTAGGTCTTCTATTAAGATTCAATTAATTTATTGTTGGAATATTAAATTGCACATTTGAGTTCCTGTTAATTGAATTACTGATGGCCACACCCAAATCTTTCATTAGCAGTAAATTTCAGTTTAAAACTAACTGCTGGATAACAGTTTTGAAAATGACATGGTACTAGAGTGTGGTTTAATACCTTTGCCAAACTGATTAATTCTCCACTAATTTATGTTTCAATTCAGACAGTTTTTATCACAGCTTGTTTAAATTTGAAGACTAGGAGCATGAATCAAAATGTCGTTGGGCCCATGAATTAGTGAGAGATGGAACAATGTGTCAGCATTAAATTGGTGAATAGCAAAAGCGAGAATTATCTACTTGGGGATCAATATTGCTATTTAACTTGATGCTACAAATATTTGACCTTATAGATGTTAACTATTCTTGGATTACACTTGTTTCCTCCCAGCGCCAAATTATGAAAATCTGGTAAGACTAACATTATTTTTTAAAGTTAATTATTATAATTATCATGGCATACTAAAAAGAAGCTGATTAAAATATTGTTTTTATTCACAAAAAATATATCTACATTTTATAAAGGAATACATTCTTTATTATTCATAGGAATCCTGAAGTAGTAACTGTTATTTTTGTATTCTTACAAAATAATAAATGCTGTTATTTTAATTAAAGTATGAAAATCTCTTTCTCTCACACACACATACACACAAAAAAAACTTACTTTTTTTGTCTTGTGTTTTATGTGAAAGGACTTTTAACTGATCCTAGTGGCATCATATTAATGAGTGATCTTCAGATAGCATATCAATTTTAAGGATGATTTCAAGGATGGCTTTCTCCACTGAAAATGCTTAACACTTCGGAGAACAGGACGCATGCCAATCTTCTCAGAATCTGAATTAATGAGCAAAATGTTATTCTTTTGTCAGCCTGATCATTTAATGTATTATTATGCTAATTACTTTAAGTAGCTTATATTTTGCCCCTGAAGGTTTTATTCCTTAAAATCACAATGCTAGTGTCTCTTTTCTAAACTTATTTATACAGAAAACAATGATCTGAGAATAATACAGTTAAGCCCCAAGAACTCCACAATAGTTGTAGACAAATAAAAAACACACTAAAGAAATATAGTTAAATATATTTTAAGACAGAAAAGCTGTTGTGTAAAAAAAAAAAAAAAAAAAGCTATCTGAAAACTAAAATTGAGTTATCCTCTCTTATAAAAATAAAAGGATGAGTGTGCTATTGTTACAATATTAAAAGGATCCATATGATCCCATTTTAAAAGGTAGTTCTCCACCCTAATTCTGCATTAGGATTAGGATGGCCTAAAGAGCTTAAGCCACGTCAATGCCTGAGTCACACCCAAGACCAATTAGATAAATTTGTGGATCCTATAATTAATATTTTTACAAATCTTTCAAGGTGTTATAATGTGCGGAAATGTATTCAAACTACTGATCTAAAACATTGCTCCCTATAAACAATGGCTTCTAAACATTTTTTGTATCATGGGAGTTTTTGAAAATCAGACAATAGCTATTGAACCTTCTCTATCTAGAAAAATGTACACCTATACATACACATCCACCTACACACCCACATAACATATCCACATAGACACCCAAACACATGCTCACACTCGCACACACACATGATTTTACATATGACTTTAAAGACAACCCCAAATTCCTGAAGCCCAGTTAAGAAACCTGGCTTTAAGAGCAACACTTAAATGATTTCAAGAGGAAAAGAAGCTGTTGCTCTTTCAATGGATCAAGAAGCATCACCTAGGTAATTGCTTCATAATTTAGAAATCACTTGTGTTAATGACATTCCTTTGTAGCTGCAACATAAACCTGCTTACATTCTCAACACAAGTGGAGAGAGATCAACTTGTGCATGTTCTGTGTGACCATGAGTAATTTACTTCCCCTCTTCAAGTCTGTTGTTTTAAATCTGATAAATGAATAAACTGATAAAATGTGGAGTAATAATTCAAAGAAATATATAATACTGACATTGAAAACAATCAATGACTATAAGCTGCCACTCTTACTTTTGTTTTTATTTCTCTTAAAGATCGTTCTATATGCCTGTAGACTTAATGAAATTTCCCATGTAGTATTTTTACTTCAAGAAAATAGTTACATTAACAAAGCAAAGAAGAGCAAACAAGCCATAAATAAATAAAACAATGATCACGATGGCCATTTCCATCTCTTTACACTGATTTAATTCAAGTTTGGTTAAAGATACTGAGAGACTGTTTGTGCTTCCATTCTTAAAATATATTTCTGTTACATTTACTAAAGAAGGTATTTAAGGGAAAAGTTCAGCATTGTGTTGTTGCCTCATGCCAACTTTGTGTCCACTTTGCCGCTTAGATAAGAGTACTTCTACATAAAACAAGTCCATTTTAGTTGTTAATTAAACAGTATTGCCATTCATATTTGCATTAGTCCATTTCACACTGCTATAAAGAAGTACCAGCGACTGGATAATTTATAAAGGAAAGAGGCTTAATTGACTTACAGTTCTGCATGGCTTAGAAGACCTCAGGAAACTTACAGTGATTGTGGAAGGGAAAGCAGGTACCTTCTTCATGAGTCAGCAGGGAAGAGAGCATGTTAAGGAGGAACTATCACACACGTATAAAACCATCATATCTCCTGAGAACTCATTAACTATCATGAGAACACATGAGGGTAACCGCCCCCTCATTCAATCATCTCTCTCTCTCAACATGTGGGGATTACAGGTCACTCCCTTAACATGTGAGAATTAAAATTTGAGATGAGATTTCGGTGGGGACACAGAGCCAAACTATATCATTCTACTCCTCGTCCCTCCAAAATCTCATGTTTTTTCACGTTTCAAAACCAATTATGCCTTCCCAACAGTCCCACAAATAGTCTTATCTCATTCCACATTAACCCAAAAGTCCACAGTCCAAAATCTCATCTGAGACAAGGCAAGTCCCTTCTGCCTATGAGCCTGTAAAATCAAACACAAGTCAGTTACTTCTTAGATAAAATGAAGGTACAGGCAATGGGTAAATGCTCCTGTTCCAAATGGGAGACATTGGCCAAAACAAAGCAGCTACATGCCCCATGCAAGTCCAAAATCTAGCAAGACATTCATTAAATCTTAAAGCTCCAAAATGATCTCCTTTGACTCCATGTCTCACATTCGGGGCATGCTGGTGCAAGCAGCGGGCTCCCACAGTCTTGGGCAGCTCTTTCATGGTCTTGCATTGAGTGCCTGTGGTTTTTCTAGGCATGTGGTGCAAGCTGTCAGTGGATCTACCATTCTGGGGGCTGGAGGATGGTGACCCTCTTCTCACAGTTCCACTAGGCAGTGACCAGTGGGGAATCTGTGTGGGGGCTCCAACCTCACATTTCCTTTCTGCATTGCCCCAGCAGAGGTTCTCCATGAGGGTCTGCCCCTGCAGCAAACTTCTGCCTGGATATCCAGGCATTTCCATACATCCTCTGAAATCTAGGTGGAGGTTCCCAAACCTCAATTCTTGACTTCTGTGCACACTCAGGCCCAACACCACATGTAAGTTGCCAGGGCTTGGGGCTTGCATCCTTTGAAGCAATGGCCTGAGCACTATGTTGGCCCCTTTTAGTCATGGCTGGGATGCAGGGCACTAAGTTCCTAGGCTGCCCATAGCATGGGGGCCCTGGGCCAGACCCAGGGAACCATTTTTCCTTCCTAGGACTACAGGCCTGTAATAGGAAGGGCTATTTGGAAGGTTTCTGTAATGCCCTGGAAACATCTTCCCCATTGTCTTGGCTATTAACATTTGACTTCTTGTTACTTACACAAATTTCTGCAACTGAATTGAATTTCCACCTAGAAAATAGGTTTTTCTTTTCTACCAAATGGTCAGACTGCAAATTTTCCAAACTTATATGCTTTGCTTCTTCTTGAACACTTTACCGCTTACAAATTTCTTCCACCAGATACCCTAAATCACCTCTCTGAAGTTCGAAGTTTCACAAATCTCTAGGGCAGGGACAAAATGCCACCAGTCTCTTGGCTTAAGCATAGCAAGAGTTACTTTTGCTCCAGTTCTCAATAAGTTCCTCATCTCCATCTGAGACCACCTCAGCCTGGATTTCATTGTTCATATCACTATCAGCATTTTGGTCAAAACCATTAAAAAAGTCTCTAGAAAGTTCCAGACTTTCCCACATTTTCCTGTCTTCTTCTGAGGCCTCCAAACTGTTCCAACCTCTGCCCGTTATCCAGCTTCAAAGTTACTTTCACATTTTTGGGTATCGTGATAGCAGTGCCCCACTCCCAGTATCAATTTACTGCATTAGTCCATTTTTACATTGCTATAAAAAATACCTGAGACTGGATAATTTATAAAGAAAGTAGGTTTAATTGACTCATAGTTCCACATGGCTAGGGAGGCCTCAGGAAACTTAAAATCATGCAGAAGGGGAGGCAGATACCTTCTTCACCAATCAGCAGGAAAGAGAGCATGCGAAGGAGGAGCTCTCAAACTCTTATGAAACCATCAGATCTCATAACTCATTCACTATCATGAGAATAGGATGGGGGAAACTGCCCGCATGGTCCAATCACCTCTCTCCCTCAACATCTGGAGATTACATGGCCCTCTCACAACATGAGGGAATGACAATTTGAGAAGATATTTGGGTTGGGACACACAGTCAAATCATTTCAATATTTTTTCATATTAAATATTAGTATTTTTTCTAGATCATACCTCTAAAATACTGTCATCATTTCAAACTCAGATTTCAATATCCTGGCCCCTCTTCCACATGATTGTTGACATGACATGGTAAATAATAAGTTTATTTTAAAATATCTTAACCCTGATTTTTAGTTCTCTCTCTCTCTCTTTTCAAACCTCCAAAGGCTACATACAACTTTTAAAGAAATCTAACACTTCAAGATGTGAAAAACACCTTGAAACTGAAACTGACAAAGCGAATCACATCCCTCTCCCAATTAAGATGTACGCAGACAGAAATGCTCGTATGTGTGATATATATACACAAACACAGCTGGGCTGAAACCCCACATGCAAGTGCTTGACTTAAAATTCTCTCAGCCCCAAACTTACACGGCTGTGCTATTCCGTGAATATGCCAAAACTTTTGTTACATGCTCTTGTTAAATAATTTAAATTTTCAGTACAAATATCTATTTAATTATAAATTTGCTTATGAAATGAAGATGAAACTCTTTGAAGACGGGAAGAATAGCTTACTATAAGCCAAAGACTGCATGCATAGAAAGTAATCTAGTCTACTTCGAGCCATCTGTTATTTGTATTGTCTTACTTTCTGGCAACCACCCTATGAAGCAGGTATAATTGACCTCAGTTTTACAGATGAATAACCTATATTTTAAAGGGTTAAAATAGATCACACAGTGAGTAACAGAGTGAGTAACAGAGGTAGAATATGATTTATCTTCTGCTGAGATTATCTATCCTAGTATTTAATTATGACACACTGCCCCTTTTGGGTTTAAGGGAATCTAAAAGTTAGCAATTTTTCTATACTGAAGAAGTTAAAACTGAAAATAGCAGTACTTGGGTAAATCTTGATACTGCAAAGAAGACTAGCATAAGGAAGATTTAAAATCACTTTTGTACTGTAAAGTAATTATAAATGTGAAATAGCAATAAAAATATTAAATGAGACTTCGGTAATACTAAATTTCTATAAATGGCTCTATAATTTCTCACAACTATTTCCTGCACTTATATGAAGTCTGAAACTATCACTTAATTCTATATCCTACACATGACATTCAAAATTGTAATAGAAGATCTTAAAATATTTTAAATGATTAAGGACAAATATTCTACTACAAAGTTTTAGGTAGGCTAAAAAAAG